AGTTCCTATGCTCAAAGGATTTATTCTACTGGGAGAGAAAAAATAAAAAATGATTAAATGACAGTAAGATAGGGGAAGGAATACAGTTAAGTACTGATTTTGTATCAAACATTGTGCTAATCATATTGCATATATAATAATATTTAATCCTCACCACCTCATTGGTATTATTCCCACTTGATTAATGAAGGCAAGTTTCTCTCCAACCTTTGCTGGGCCGAGAGCAGGAGTACAAATAGAGGCCCACCTACCATAAGTCAAAATATTTAAAAGTTATAAATTAGACTCATAAACTGATAAAGACTACTCTATTTTCTTTCCTTGATACATATACTTTGATAACAATCTGGAAGGCGAGGTTTGAATTCAGAATTTTCCGACTCTTCATCCATCCCTAGCCTGTGGTATCCCCACCCACTTCTCATCTGTGGCTCCACTTCATACCTTGGACAGGCTTCATGGACAGAAGCCTGTAGGTCCAACCTCTGTTCACAGCTTCCACAAATAGCCAGCCTTTGGCCACCTCTCTGTCCCGAGGTATACACATTTATCAGGAGGTGTATACCTTCTCTTCTCTTCTCTACCCCACCAAAGAGAACATGCAGGCCCTGGAAGTTGTCTTAGGAGCCTTTGGGCTCAGAATTTCAGAGTCTTGGGTACCTGGGATGTAGTCTGGAAGAAACATGGGCTCTGGGTAAGGGGTACAGCCGGAGGGGGGTCACAGAGCCTTCAGCTCAAGCTACTGTGCCTTAGTCTAAAAGCAGTTATGGATGAGGAAGCAGGTTAAGTAACATACCTAAGCGTACACAGGTAGAAAGTGCTGGAGTCAGAATTGCACAGTGAGACGGAGTAGTACCTCAATCAATGAGGGCAAACCAACTGAAACATGAGGATTGATTAATGAATTGCTTGGGAGGGAGGGATCAAGGCTATCAGGGAGATCTTTCTAGGAAGATTGTTGTTTAAAGTTGTGAAGGAGCAGGGCAGGAACAGGACCGGAGGTAGAGGAGAACATTGCCTGTAGCCCTTGTCCTGCACCCAGAGGCTGAAGGGGTGGCGATCAATTTGGAGAGATTAGAGCAGTGCTTGTGGGGTACAGAGGAGGAATGAAGACTGAAGAGTTAAGTGGTGGTTATCCAAAAGGGACAGGAGAGATACATAATCACATTTAGGTATAAGGGCTAAGGGAGAACAAGAGAGCAAAAATGACTCAAAAGTTTCTTCCCTGAATGACTAGGGAGTTGGTGAGTCATTTACAAAAATAGAGACCAGAAGGAGCCTGAGGATACTGGGCTTTTAAAGTCAGTATTATGGGTTGATAATGAGAATACTGGTAAAGCGAGAGAGAAAACAAGTATACAGAGTCTTGGAGCTATATCGAAGGAGTGCACAGAAGAGAGGACTGCCAGAAACAAAACAAACACTCACAAAAAACTGAGCAGCAAAAGTTTCTGTGGGACAAGAAGCCTGATCTGCTTAGTGTCATCAATGCGATGGTAGACCCAAGTTTGAGTGTGAGGCCATTAAGTACAACATACAAAGAAGGGAAACCCCTGGATTTAGCAATCAGAAGTTACATCCGTAGGGATGGGAAACCATTTGCAAGCATTTGAAGATACATAATAAGGAAGTAGAGGAGGAGAATATAGATAGTTTTAAAAAAAATTAAGCCTGGCTTCAAGAAAATGAGATTAGAGATTTGTTTGATGGGAAAGTAGGATCTGGGAAAAAAATTGACTACTACTTCTTCCTTCTTCCTTCCTTCCTATTTTTTCTTCTTCTTTCTTATTTCTTCTTATTATTATGTATAAGAATATTTGTAACATCCCTGGCTGAAAGGATGCAGTGAAATAGGAAAGACTAAGGATATGATTACTTTGATAAGATACACCCACCCCTTGCCTCTACTCTGCTTCGTTAGAGGAGTAAAGAGCAGATCCCACCACTATCCAGCTGAAGACCAGCTGTCCTCAGTAAAGGTAACCCTGTTTATGACAATCATCACATGAAGCTACGGCTTCCAGGTCACCCTTATCAGGTGATTCTCACCTCCACAGCTTCAGGCCTCTTTTATCAGTAAGTCCTCCTCCGCCCTAGCCTGGCCTTGTCCTCCTTCTCTCCATTATTTTTCTTCATAGCACTTATTACTATCTGACATATATTCACTTATTTTTATTATGGTTGTTTTGACCCTGATAAAATGGCAGCTACAGTTCTTAGAACAGTGTCTGGCACATCGCAGGGACACAGCACATGCGTGTGGAATGATGCACGTGCAGCAAGGAGGAAGGGACGGTTGATGGGGCAGGAGTCCAAAGCAGGGTTTGGCAGACTTTTCCTTTAACCACTCAGATGGCAAATATGTCACGTTTTGCTGGCCACAAGCAGTCCGTGTCCCATATTATTCTTTGTTGTTTTTGAAATAATCCTTTAAAATATGTAAAAGCCATTCTTAGCTGACAGGCCACACATAAACAAGCTGCAAACCTGACCGCTGCTTGCCAGTCACTGTGAAAGTCAAGGAAACAAGATTAGAGCACAGATGAAGATGTTGGGTGAAAAAGAAAATGTATACATCCTCCTCTGGACTGTAAGTGAGAAAACAGATGAAATATGAAGAATAGACAAAGGAAGGAGTCCATGTCAGTGGCGTCAGCCTCTTGTGAGGAGAAAGGGAAGTCTACAATTAAGTGTTAAACACTTGAAAAGGGAGGAAATTTTGAAAGAATGGGATGGCTAATCATATAGAGAGGAATAAGAAAACTGATACACAACATAAGATTCAGCAGAAGTTGGAGAACATGAATCTGTGTGCTAGAAGACTAGAGAAAATGTCGATCCTGAGAATTTTAACTTGTGAGCTTAAAGCAGTGCTGCACAAAATTCTGCACATGGTTGGCCTGGCGTACCAGTTCAGAATAATTTGGTGCTTCTCATACTATTTTTGATAAAATTGCTTCTAGAAACAACAAAGAAGTATGAACTAACTTGTAAATGATAACATCAACAATTAACATTTGTTTATTAATAAATAATAGCCTAAGCGATGTAAATAAATAGTGTAGGCCCTAAGCTATTTATTAATGGCTAAGCTACAACTGTTATCTCATTTAATCATATTACGTGAGTTCTAGTGTTATCTCTGATTTACAGATGAGGAAACTAAAGCTTAGAGAAGTTAAGAGACTTACGCAAAGACACACACACACATACACACACACACACATACACACACACACAAACACTCTTAAGTGACAGAACCAGATGAACACAACCGAGTCTGTCTGACATCCAGTCCATGCCCTTATCGCAATAGGGTGCTGATAATGCATTGATATCAATATGAAAGGAGTTTCTACTGATAGTTCTAGTCTTCACACTGTCATGTTCAGCATTTTTATATTGCTTTTGATGAGGACATGTATACTTATCAAATCTTTCAGTTTTGTAGAATCAAGAAAACTAGAGAATGCATTAGATAACCGAATAAGAATTCAGGATTATTATCTCTAACTGGAGTGGTTCACCAAAGAAGAAATGTAATAGAGATAAAATTATAACCCTTTACTGAGGTCCAGGAACAACTGTCCAAGTACACTGTCTTAGCTGTTGGGTGTATAGGGAGGAAAAATGATTAGAGATTTTAGTCACCTCACTTTAAGGATTGCACTGAACTGTAGCTTGTTCAGAAGAAAATAAAATAGGGAAGCTGTTCAAGACCACGTTATCTAAGGAAAAATTAAAGAAACTCATAAAGTCTTGGAGCAAGAAATCGTGATGGTGATGGGGCAGGAGACAGAGTAGTGCCTTCAAATATTTCTGAACGTTTTCACATAGAAGATAAATTAGATTTCTTCCGTGTGACCTTTGTGGTCAGAACTAAGAATAATAAGTAGAAATTTCAGGGAGCCAGAGTTTGGCTCACTCTGAGAAAATAGCTCCTTCCAAATTAAACCCATTCAAAATTGTAATGAGTTGCATTGGTAATTAATGCTTCGGCTATTGCTGGACATGTTTTAAACTGCGACTGAACTATCATTTATTATAACTCACTCTGTATGACCTCTAAAGCCCCTGCCAGCACAAAATTTTTGCCTATGAACATGTCAGATGAATAAAGCATTTCTATATTATTTTTCAAAAATGTAACTTAGCAGCTTTCTTCTGTGCTGTGTTTGCAACCTGATTTAGTAGTGTTAGCTATATGGTGGTATATATTACAAAACTTCTGTTTTGAACTAAGCTGTACAAATTCAAATTTTTTACTTGGAATGTGAGAAGATGTTTAGCACACCAAGTTAGGCTTCGAGTATTTTTTGAAAAGGATGTGTACTTTACTTCTGTATAATTATTGCCAAAGATTATACTGAATTTGTATCATATTTCTGCCAATATTTCTTCTAAAGCCATATCCCATGATTAATTTTCAGTTAGTTTACTTAACACCCATAGTGTTTTCTGTAAAGCAAATGTTTTCAAGAAGTGCCTTGAAAAGCTCACTTATCTTTTAGCATATTTGATTCTAATATACACAGTGAAGTTGTTTCAGGAGGGACATAATCTATTGACTTTCTGAGACCATTATAATTAGTTCTTAAACTTAATTCTGTGATCTGTCTTGTTATGTTTTTGCCCTGTTGTTTTGTGTGTGTGTATATGTATATGTCTGTGTATGTATATGTATGTGTACGTATGCGTATGTGTATATATACACACATACATATACACATATATATACACATATATATTCAGTTTTGATTTCTCAATATTATCAATAGAATATTAACTGGATATATGTTTTAAAGCCTCTAGTTTACTTTTCCGAAGGTATCAAAAATTTTTTTTATTGTTTACTATCACTAAGTCTTTCTGACATTTATGGACAAAGTTGAAGCAAAAAATAGAAAACCTTTATAGTTTCAGTTTTAATCCTTTAAAGCTTACCTAATAATCAGTAGGCCTACTACTTATTGAAAAAGAAATACTTTTTTTTTTTTTAGGTGTTATCCCTTTTCATGGATTTTCAATGTATGGTAAGTTGGGCTTTAAAAACATCATAATGTACACCATAAAAACATACAGTGTTATCTGTCAATTTAAAAAATAATGACTGACAGATATAATTATTTTACTATAATAAGACTATAAAGGAAAGAATAAAGTGAAATACATGCTGGTTTCCCATAGGGGCTTAATTTTTAAAAATTACTGTTTTTATTACACGTTAAGGAAATCACCCACAAGTTATTATGAACATTTTAAAATGTTGAGTTTAGTAGGCCAGGTGTGTTGGCTCATGCTTGTAATCCCAGCATTTTGGGAGACCTAGATGAGAGGATCACTTGAGGCCAGGAGTTCAAGACCAGCCTGGTCAACATAGCGAGACCCTATCTAAAAAATAAAATAAAATGTTGAGTTTAGTATTTTTATATGTCCAATTTAAAAATGTTAAAAATAAGAGGTCACCGTAATTGGTTAGGTGGTGATTGCTTGACAGATTAGAATTAGAGTATACTGTGAAAATGGTCCTGTGGTTTACCATTTTTTAGTCCAATGGAAACCAGAGATACACATTAATATTTAGCTCTAGTAGGTGTAAAATCAGATTGCTTAAATTCCTAAAGTAATTCTCTTAAGAGTTTTTTAAAAATAATAGGTCAGAAAGAATGCTAAGGAAGGGACAACACTGAGTTTGAGCTCATGATTTCTCCAGGCTACTGATATGCACAGCAACAATTACATCAGAGCATTCAGTTACCTGAGGTGCATGTGGGAGATGCATGTGCAGGCTTGAGAGCTCTGAGTGCCTCCAAGGCCTCATGTGTCATTAAATGAGGAATGCAAGAAGCTTATGAAGATTAGCAAAAGCAAGAACTCTCTACACCTTAATGCCACTTAATTTTTAAGTTTTTAAGTGTTACATATAAACTTATTAAAGATTGTTGTCCCCTTTATTTCTACCCCTACCTTTAGAATGAACAGAAATACATTAATGTTTCGCCTTTGTACCAAGAATCTTCAGTAAACATTTTTCTTTGTAAACATCAGTGTTCAACATCAGATGGTCATGGTGAATGACATAACACTATCATTCAATGAAAAAGAGTCAAAGTACCTAGGGACTTTATGCTGTACTTGGTGTTAGCGACAGGCTTGAATTATAGGGTACTCAGCTTTATTCTCTTGGGCAACCACAATTTCATAACATAATACGTAATGTTATAGTGACCTCACAGCATATTTCTCTTATAAATGTGAGGAATTTAAAATAGAAAACCAAAAAAGATTAATAATATAAACTTTTACATCTAATAATAAAAATGTTCACCTTTTTATCTTTCTACTTTAGTAGTTCCAACTACAAAAATTTTCCAAGTAAATCATTTTTGGAAGTTGTACTTGAATGATTTGGAGGATACTTGATGTCATGAAAGTTTAAATCTTTTAGAAAGATCTTCTGGTGTTTAAAATATATCATTGACTCAGCCTCTGCCTATTCACATTTATGATCATTTAAATAGGCTACAGTTTATACACCCAAGGGGAAAGCATTTGCTGGCAATGATGCAAAATGTTTGATATAGAATTTATTTATACTATTTTAGAAAACTATTTTCAGCATCCACAAAAACTTTACCAGCAACCACTTATTTAGAACCAGTATACAAAAATAATCACAAATCATCCCTAAGGAACTCTAGTTAGTACTTTGCCATTTCAGTTTTAGTTACTATATTTCTTTAAAATTATAATACTTACCTCTTTTAAACATTGATACAGATCTTTAGTGATAGGCTGTCATTAAAAAGGAAACCAAAAAGATAGTAATTTATTTAAAAATTTACTCAGAATTCTTCTGTAATTTTAAATACCTTCTGCTCTTCTATTTATGCAGATTAGTGAAGTTTTATTGTAGGTGTATAGTATATTATGGTGTCATAAATTCCTACAGTATAGTCTTTAATTGGTTTAAAAGATAATTAGCTAAATTTATTTTTATGGAAGAACCAAATAGGGAAGGATGTTTAAAATTAAAAATTAAGTCATGTAGAATCTTTTTTACATATAATCTATAATGGACTAAAGCTTTTCCATTTCATAGCTATATAAAGGAATTCAACATAAACAACTGTGGCATCTTGAATAAAAACTAATTGTAAATTTCTTTTATATTGTGTATATTCATATAAAAGTGCTTATTTTAAGATTCTCTTTTCATTTCTTCACTGGAAATTTTTATTAATAATTACTGAATCCATAACATCTTCAGATTCAGGTTATAGGTTTTCACATATCAATATTTAAAAATTGGAGGAAAAAATTTGCATCATTTTTTTAAAATAAAGAAGTTCCAAACCTTCATCTTAGATTTATAATAATAGCATATATATTTGTACCACACTGTTGTTTCTTAGGTTGTTATTGCAATGAGAGCATGAGTTACTATTTGTAAATACATGAAATATCCTAATTTGGGCTATTTTTATAAGTAGCAATTTATTTAATAATAAAATAAGTTTTAAAATTTGTCTTGAAATAGACATACCTGTCTTTTTAAAATTTTTATATATAATATATATTGTATATACATTTTTCTATATATATACAAGTATTTATTTTTATATGAATTTAGATATTTACCCCCAAAAGTGATTTCTCTTTTGCCTTCAGAAAAAATTAAAATTCTCACTTGCAATGCTAATTTTTAATGACTTATTTATCAGTAATACTGTGCATTGCCCTTTATCCCAGAAAATTGAACTTTTGTGTTTGAAAGAATTTAAAATATTTTACTATTTTTTCTTTTACTTTGTCAAAAAGAAGAGAGCTCAACTGGCCCACTGATTTCCTTGCTTACTTAGTGCTTACTGCCCTCAGAGCATTACCAACAGGTTACAGAGCCCCAGAAATTCTTACTTGTCCAATACATATTGTTTGAAATTACCCTGTAAGGCATTTTTTATTAAAATTAATATTTAAGTAATGCAGTTGTACCTATCCGCATTATAAATTTGTTTCTATGCTGCCTAAAATACTTGAGGCTTGAAAAGATGGAAAGCATGACCACCTTTGTCAGTGTAGAATAATCACATGCTCAGGTAGGTCTCCAGTCGAAGATTAGGACTTTCTGACATTCAGCTGTGGGATGTCTGGTTGTGTTGACCCAGCTGTGCTTAATTGCTACAGACTGGGGGCAATCAATTCAACATTCATTAGAGAAATAAATCCTTTCTGCCTACAGATTGTTTTCAGTTGATGAATATATATGGGGATGTAGCGATAAAGACCAGTAGTGTACAGCTATTACTCAAAAATCTTTATTTTCAAATTGAATTAATTGAAGACCATGATTCTAAAAGTCATAAATCATCTATTTTACTTACCTGACTTCCAAAATTAAAAATTTTGAAATGTGGCCTGAATCCTTTGTGAGAGAAAGTGAACATAAGCTGCCTGGTTGTTACTTTCTTATTACTTCAATTTAAAAAAGGAGAGATTTGATTTATGTAGTTTTTATAAGTTATGTGGAATTTTTCATATTTCTGTATAATTCCATAATGTCATTCTTAGCCATCTGTTAAATTGGGATTATAATAGTTTGTAATATACTCCTTTCTTTATAATATTTAATGGCTGTTTGAACTTTACATGTGCATATATTCCCCTCTCAAAATGAAAAAAAGTAGTATGATTTTAAACTTGTCTATGAGTGTATATGATTACTATAAAATAGTGATTTATAATGTCATATTTTATAAATTTATCGTAAAATTTTAGTAGTTCTGCAGTATTATAAATTATTTTTTTCTTTCAGTTGCACCACTTTGTTTTCTATACCACGAACCTTCCAAATTGTATCAGATATTCCGTGAGATGTATGTGCGTTTTTTCTTCAGACTTCATTCCATCTCTTCTCATCCTTCTGTAAGTTCATAAGAAAAACTGGATCAAGTTAGGTTGGACTGTAATCTGTTCTTCCTTTCCGTTAAGAAAAAGTCTTCTACTCAGATTCTAATGCAACACATTTTAATTTGTGATGTCAACCAATGTGTTTTTATTGCAAAAATGACAAGATGAAATTGATATTTAACTATTTTGGTAATAATTTAAATGGAAAAAGTCTCTTGTCAACTACATTTAAATGATTTTTTTTACATATTACAAGAATTAGAATGTCTGTATTATTATTCTTAACAAAGATGCCTACCTTCTTTTCTGATCTCTTATCTACGAGATGAAATAAATAATATATTATCTCTAGTGCTGTAGAAAAGTCTACAAAGCACTCAGTGTAGTTAGTGCTTGGCTCCCAGCAGGTGTTCTGTAAATAAATGGCTATTGTTGTTATAATTATTATCATCATTCTTCTTTGTTAATGAAAATCAAACGTTGAATTGTCACTTGTTTGCCAATTTCATATTTGGCTAATTATCAGTTATAAAAGTACATATTTTCTTTGTATTCAATAAAATAATCCTTTGGCCTACAACCATAAGAATCAAGGAAAAGCATATATATAGGAGTTGAACATTTTAATCTGTTTTATTTTGGCTGTTCCTTTATCATATCTTTTTTTTCCTTTCCCATAAACCTGACTAAGAGCAGTATTTATTTTATTTCAGTTATGCTTTTTTTCCCCCTTTGGACCTGCTGTGGGTAACATGACTGCTACTCCAGGTGAAACATTCAATTGGAATATATGTCAGGGCTACTAAATTTCCCCAAAGAGGCAACTGTATTATTGCTATTAAATTAAATAGCTGTTCTTTATCCCCCCATTGTAAGGTTATGTATTCCTATTTCATCTTCCTCCATCTCCAGTTTTGCTCTCATACATTGCTAGTGAAAGTTGGCAAATCACAGAATTCCAGGATGTCACAGATAAACAAATGAAGCAACACCAGTTATCTTGGGTTTCTTATCTCTAAGAGAACTTGATTTTGTTCTTATCTTACCTTAATATTTAATCTGGAATAATCAGAAATATGACCAGTAATTAAGATCAGTAATTCTTTTCTAATACTCATTCTAAGTATCGTATTTTTACTCTCATATTCTATGCCATTTTATGCTTCAGAGTTTAAAAAAACTGGCTGCATAGTACATACCCATGGTGTTCTCCCTGTGCAGAGCACTGAAGCCTGGCACTGGGCAACTCTGGGTATTTCTTCTTTATCTCTGTGCTGGTGGCCCTGGGTATCCTTTTTCAGTGAATTGATTGAGTCAGTCCTGCCCCTGTCCTTTTTTTTGTGATTCAGTGGAGTGAAAACTTACAGGCAGTCACCTCCTTTTTTGGCTTGCAGCCAGACTGAATTATTTGGAACCATGACAGTCTTTTTTTCTTTAGAAATGCAAAAAGAGGATTAAAAATTCCTTACAAAGATCAACTCTGAGGAATGCTAAGCTGCAAGAAAGACTTTATTCAGAGTTGTCAAATAATAAATGTACTTGAAAAACCATCTGCTTAAATTGATTAAGTTTTGTACTTCACAAATAATGCCCTTTTAAAAACAATAGATTTTAGTTTTAAAAAAATATGTGTATACTAAGTAATCAAACATTCTTGTTCAATAATTTCCTGATGCAAATTTCAAGCAGCTAGCTGCTAGTCTTTTCCTGGGGGTAGATTTCAAAGAAAGAGTGAGAAAAGCAGGCGATGTTTTCCCTAGTGAGTGAGGCTGGAGGGGAAGGGACATATGGAGGGAGAATGAAGGTGGCTATATAGCACTAGGGAAATAACTGGAAACTGGAATGCATTCAGATAAAAACTAATTTTGCTGAGGTTAAGTAATAATACGTGGCTTGCAAAGTGGCAAGTTTTCTGTAAGGTGATGTTTTCCTTGGACTCTCCACATATTACATACTGGTTTATGTGGGGAGCATATTGTGTGAAAAGGGAGGCTCCTTAGCATATCTGTATGTGTGAGTATAAATAAAGAGAAATAAAGTTTATGTTTAAACACAATGTTAGAGAGCCATTAATACATTTCCTGTTTTTGACTCTTAAACAGTATAAAGAATATTTATGTTGATAGCCTTTCTCATTTTCCATTTGAATAATTTGTTGGCATAGTTAATTTTTAAATATTAAAATATCTATTTCTCTTATGATTCATTATTATATCCAGGGTATTGTGTCACTCTGTCTGCTGTTTGAAACTCTTCTTCAAACTTACCTTCCCCAACTCTTTTATCATCTACGAGAAATTGGGGCTCAACCGTGAGTACTTTTCTCTCCTAATTGAAGAATAGATAGTTTCACAGAAAGCTCTTTTTTCTTCATTGTAGAGCACTTGCAAAGATGTAATTTTTCAGAGAAATTAAGCTAACAATTTTCCTAATAAAACTATAATTATCAAGTAGTAAATTGTAATGACATTGTGCCAAAAATTCTTGAAAGAATTACCAAAATCCTAACAAAGTCTTCTTTACTAGGATTTTTGTGTCTGGTACAAGAGTCACCAAAATAAACCAATTTCTATTCGTAATGAAAGGTGTCAGCCAAAACTGAAGCAAACATTTGTGGAAACAAATAATACCTGAAAAATGTGATCATACCAAACTTGAGTCAGTATAGGCCACAGTTATCAGAGAATTACCTAAGAAAACTATAGAAGTTCAAGTTGGCTGTCTTTTGTTAAAGGAAAGCAAATCAGGTACCTATTAATGGTTGTACACTGTGATTTCTCCTTCCTAAAATTTGAATTTTGTTCATTGGTCGCAGTATGAGTTATAAGTGAATATGTATAGTATCTCTGGACTTCAAGATTATTGGTTTTCTCTCTCTCTCTTTTAAAATAACAGTGTCTAAAGCAAGAGAAATTTCCAAATGATTTATCAATGTTTTCTTCCTGTCTTATCTGTGCAGCTATTTTCTCCTATTAAAGAGGGTATATTTGAAAAAAGTATTAACTCCTTGAGGCCACAAAAGAAGTTAGTGGGAAATAGAATAGTATAGTATTTGTCTTCTCCACTCTTGAATCCATAGCAAATAGATAGCTGAGGGGGTGGAAATTTAATCCAGATTCAAATTCCATTTCTGTTAAGCTTTGTAATCCTGGTGAAGTTTTTTATTTTATCAAAGCCTCAATTTCTTTATGTTAAGATAATTCAGTTTATTTATCTTAAAAATCAAGAGAATTAGTACCTTGCAGAGTTGTTTAAAGATTGAATGATTATAAAGATGGAGATAGCAATCAAGATGGAGATAGAGATAGATAGGTATATAATCTCGTTTTTATAAAGTACCATTGAATTTCAGCCATCTTAGAGATGGCCTTTATAAAATAATACCTCATATCATCCATTGATAATACTGAGCGGATACCCTTTCCTTTGTAGCCATTGAAAAATAAAATTCTATTCATGATTCAGAAGCATTTTATATGAGCATAGGACTTTCATTCTTAAACTTGTAGTAAATTGACTTCTTTATGCTATTGTGAAATGAACATTGGAGTATAAGTAGGGTTTTCTTTACTAGGATGAAGACATTTAGTTCATTACTAGAAACTAAAATGATATTTTTTCTAGCCTATTTATATACTTTACATATTAAAAGAAATAAATTTATTTCAATGACATGATAAACATTAAAATTCCTATGTAGGAAAATTGTAAAAATTCTAATTGTCAAGGTAGAAATCATTTTTTTAAAAACTGAAGCTTTTGGAAGCTTTTTAACTTTGAATTTGATTTCTTTAATAGATACAGGACTACTTGGGTTATCTATTTCTTTTTGAATAAGCTTCAGTAGTTTATGTCTTTTACTAGGTTATCATATTTATAAACAAAGTTATTCATACTATTCTCTATGCTTAGCCTTTTTAATATTTCTAGGGTTAGTAGTGACATCATTTTTGTCATTCCTGATATTAGTAATTGTAATCTCCCATTTTTTCTTGATTATTCTGGCTACAGGTTTATCAATTTTATTCGTTTTTGAAAGAATCAGTTTTTTGTTCCATTGATTCTTTTTCTCTGTTGTTTTTCTGCTTCGATTTATTTCTACTCATATTTATTATTTTCTTCTTTTTGCTTGCATTAGATTTATTTTGCTCTTGTCTTTCTGCTTGTTTAAGGTGGAAGTTAGATCATTGATTTGGGGACCTTTCTTTTTTTTCTAATATAAGCATTAATGTTACAGATTTCCCTCAAATTACCTCTTTACCTCCACCCAACAAATTTTGATATGTTATATTTTCATTTTTATATAATTAGAAATGTTTTGTAATTTCTCCTGTGGTTTCCTCTTTGAATATTGGTTATGTAAAAGTATGTTGTTTAATTTCTAAATATTTGGAAAGATATCTTTCTTCGTTTATTTCTGTTTTAATTCTGTTGCAGTTAGACAACATGCTTCATATGATTTCAGTTGTTTTAAATGTGTTGAAGTTTGTTTTTGGATCCAGAACATGATCTGTCTTGGTCCATGTGCACCTGAAAAAACTTTGTATTCTGCAAGTATTGGGCAGAATGTCATATAAATGTCAAGGAAATCAAGTTTGTTAATAATGATGTTCAAACCTTGTATAAACTTACTAATTTTCTGTCTACTTTTTCTATTGATTATTGAAAGAGGAATGTGAAAGGCTCTAATTATAATTGTGGATTTTGTCTCTGTCTTCCTTTAGTGCTGTATTTGTTTTTTTCTTCATGTATTTTGATGCTTTGTTTTTAGGAGAATTGATCACTTTATTTTTATATAATGTCCTGTTTTATTCCTAGTAATAAATCTACTATGTCTGATATTAATATAACCATTCCAGCTTTTTTAAAATTATAATTGCATGATACATTCTTTTCTGTTCTTTTACTTAACATATTATCAATATCTTTTTTTAAGTGGGTTTCTTGTTGAAAGTATAGTTGGGTCTTCCTATGTGGCAGTCTGTTTCTTAATTGGTATGTTTATACCATTTATATTTAATATAATTGATATTATTGAATTGAAATCAACTATCTTTCTAAATTTTTTTAGTTGTTCCATGTTCTCTTTATTCCTTTTTTCTAATTCTCTACCTACTTTTGAATTGAACATTTTTTTATTCCATTTTATCTCCACTATTAGATTTTTATACTTTTTAAAGTATGTTTTTGATGGATGCCATGAGGTTTACAATATACTTCTTTTTTTTTTTTTTTTTCTTCTTGAGATGGAGTCTTGGTCTGTCGCCCAGGCTGGAGTGCAGTGACGCGATCTCGGCTCACTGCAATCTCACCTCCCTGGTTCAAGCAATTCCCCGGCCTCAGCCTCCCAAGTAGCTGGGATTATAGGTGCATGCCACCATGCGTGGCTAATTTCTTTTTTGTATTTCTAGTAGAGATGGGGTTTCACCATGTTGGCCAGACTGGTCTTGGACTCCTGACCTCAGGCAATCTGCCTGCCTTGGCCTCCCAAAGTGCTGGGATTATAGGTGTGAGCCACTGCACCTAGCCAATATACTTCTTTAATTAATCACATTCTACCTTCAAATAAATTTCAGGCCTAGATGGCTTCACTGGCAAAATCTACCAAGCACTTCAGGAAGAAATGATATCAATCCTTATTTTTCTCTGGCTACTATCAAGATTTTTGTTTTCAGTTGTCACCACTTTGATTATTCTATGTCTAGGCATAGATTTCTTTGGATTTATCCTTTTGGGAGTTTGCTAAGCTTGAATTTATAAGTTTATGTCTTTTGACAAATTTGGAAGTTTTGACCCATTATTCCTTTAAATATTTTTTTGTGCACCATACTCATTCTTCTTTTCTTCTGGGATTCCAGTGACACAAATGTTGAAACTTTTGATATAAAAGAAGAAAAGAAGATGAAGAAAAATTAAGTTTATTATTTTCTCACAAGTCCTTGCAGGTCTATTTTTTTTTTTCCATAGAGACAGGTTCTTGCTTTGTTGCCCAGGCTGGTCTCAAACTCCTGGCTTTAAGTATTCCTCCTGCCTCAGTCTCCCAAAGCACTGGGATTACAGCCATCACCACACACAGCACTTCACTTTTTCTTAATTCTTTTGCTGTATGGTGTAGATTGAACATTTTCTACTGATCTGTAGTCAAATTCTCTGTCTCTTTCTTCCATCATTTTCGTTTTACTATTAGATCCCATCTAGTGAGATGTTTTTGTGTGGTTTTTCAGTTCTACAATTTTCATCTGGTTCTTCTTCATACAAAACATATTGAACTGTACACTAATAAGGGTAATTTCTACTATACTGTAGTTTCCCCTTATCTGTGGGAGATACATTTCAAGACCCCCAGTGGATGCCTGAAACTGTGGATAGTACTGAGCCCTATATATACACCATGATGTTTTTCCCTATATATACATAACTATGATAAAGTTCAGTTTATAATTAGGCATAGCAAGAGATTTACAATAACTAATAATAAAATAGAACAATTATAACAATATGCAAGCATCACTACTCTTACTCTTTGGGGCCATTATTAAGTAAAAAATAATAATAATAAGGGTTACTTGAACACAGGCGCTGTGATACCAGGACAGTCAACCTGATAACCAATGCAGCTTCTAAGTGACTAACGTGTGGGTAGCATGTGCAGCATGGATACACTGGACAAAGTGATGATTCATGTCTGGAGTGGGACCGTGTGAGCTTTCACCAGGCTACTCAGAACAGCACACAATTTAAAATTTATGGATTATCTTTGGAATTTTTCATTTAATATTTTTGGACTGTTGGTGACCACAGTTGGCTATGGATAACTGAAACCACAGAAAGTGAAACCATGGGGGGACGACTATACATAAATTATAGCACAATGAACTTTATTTCTAAAAAGCTATGCTATGTTATTTCTATATTGGTGGGTGGGGATGTGTGGCACTATTCCTCAAATATGACACTATGAGAATTTGAGTAAAATGAAGCTAGCTGAAGTTAATAATTTTGACTTTAAATTCAAATGTATTTTGTAAGTTATTAAAATTCCAGTGGCCCAAAGTTTCTTTTGTATATATAAAGAGATATTCTAAGACCACCCAAAAAGCTTAATTAGTCAATACTAGTGCCTACATGTACTTTGTTATATTAGAACAATAGTTAGACAGTATTGAGGAATTTCTGAAACTTGAGGATCTTTTTCAGTCTTAAGATAATTAATACAGTGACACCAACCAAGGCAACCTCTGGGTCCTTTTCTGTCTTTTAAGAGAATAGCACAGATGTTTATTGACATAATATGATAATTCCAGCAAGCAGTTTGGCTAGCACCTGTCAGGGACAGTCAAATGATATTAGATGCTAATAGATAATACAGAAATGTGAGGAACTAGTTGATCTCTTAAGGCACCAGGGCCAAAGAGTTCATTTCCTGATTTCAGAGATAAATTGTTATTGTAACATGACCTACTTGTAAGTAGTGAGATCTCATACATCTTGAATTTTTTTAGTGAAATAGAATTTAATTGAATTTTCTGGCTGATCTTTCAGAGTTCTATAACCTCCTAACTAAAATGAAGAGTTTGAAATCAGAAATCTGTTTCTGATGTCTCATAGCTTTAAAACTATTTTTGTCCTTATACTTGTTATTTTATTTTATTCATCCTATATAGCCATTTGACTGAAATGTAGAAAATAATTTATTAAATTGAGAAAATATGAAGGCATTGAACAATCTTTCAAGTATTTTGAATAAAAATTCAAATTATTTTGGATTGCCTGGAATTAAGACTATCAGAAGGTCAGCTCATTGATAGCTAAGTAGTATACACTCTAAAAAACAGAATGTAGAAGTGGGTTTTATAAAGGCTGACCTCTAGAATAAAGGAGGACCCAGCATGTGTAATTCTTCCTCTTAATACTTTGAGACCACTAATTTGAGGATTTATGGTTTCTCATCACTGCACTTTTGCAGCTTTCAAGAAAGTACTTAAGTTTTAAATGCCCAGGTTATTTCTAAGACTCTTGAAAGAGTTACCTTAACAATAGAATTGGTTGGGTTCTTCTGATATTGCATTTTCATAAGAAAATTTCAGTGGTAAATTAATTTTTATTTTTCCTTGCTTATAGACTTCGTATATCATTTAAGTGGATGGTTCGAGCTTTCTCTGGATACTTAGCTACAGATCAGCTCTTGCTTTTATGGGATAGAATCCTAGGATACAACTCTCTGGAAATTCTTGCTGGTAAGAGTAAATGCTTGTTTGTAAAACACGTGCTGTTTCTATAATAAGGTCCCTTTTCTTCCTAACATTCACCACCTGTAACTGGAATTTATTTGTCATTTCTAATGCATGAACAATTAATAGATATATCTGGCTTTGAAGATAAGTACCAACAAAAACTGCAGTCTTGATATTTTTATGTAACTGCACAATACCAGCCTACTTCTAGTCTTTCTTCCTAGCTCCCAGGAAAGTTCATTTTCCCTTCCCTTTCTGTCTCCCCTTTTAGTCCAGCTAGGTCTCACTATCTCCCAGCACCTATGAGGCCTGTGCAGCAGAGTGTATATATACTTCCCTTCTCCTCTGGACTCCCCTGCTACCTTAGCAGTCTGTTCTTTGCCCCATCTCAACACCTAAGATCCAAACTGAGGCTAAGCCTCCCTGCATGGCTGAAACCTCAGCTCTTCTGTGTCTGTTTATAAAAGAAGTTAAAACCTTTTCCTTTTTGCTAACAGTCTCTGACTTCCTCCCTGGTGGCTGAGTTTCCCCTTTTATTCTCTCAGGCCAAAAACTATTTCATCTTTTTTTCAGGAAGTCACAAATTTATCTTTTATTTAATAATTAAGCAGTTCTTACAACAGATGTATGCCCAAGGCAATTATATGATTACAAAGAGGGCATATATTTCTAATTAATTCTATTGTTTTGCTTCCCTTGTACACAATAGACTCAATTATTTTATTATTGAGATTATCAGGATATTCAAATAATAATTACAATGTTTTCACAATAGATAGGAATCAGAAAAGTTGGCAGAATGTTTCCATACCTTAAATTGATAGCATTATAAAATCACCTCTCTGGGCTGCTGTGGAAATAAAGCTTAGTTGAAGAAGAATATGATAGGAAGATTCTCTAGGTACCATATTAACATATTCGGGTTTTTTTTGTTTGTTTGGTTGGTTTTTTTTGAGACACTCTCACTCTGTCGCCCAAGCTGGGGTACAGTGGCATAATGTTGGCTCACTGCAACCTCTATTTCTGGGTTAAAGTGAGTCTCCCTCCTCAACCTCCTGAATAGCTGAGATTACAGGTGCCTGCCACCATACTCAGGTAATTTTTGTATTTTTAGTAGAGATGGGGTTTTACCATGTTGGCCAGGTTGGTCTGAAACTCCTGACCTCAAGTGATCCACCCGCCTTGGCCTCCCAGAGTCCTGGGATTACAGGTGTGAGCCTCCATGCCCAGCCTTCACATATTCTTGAATGCTGAGAAGTCTATAGTTACAGATACTGGGTAGCATATGTCCCTGGGTGATAGTTACCCTGGTATAATGAGAGATATCACTGATTAATATTTTTAGCAACTTCTAGTTTTCTTCTCTCTCAATTTTTAAAAAAACCTGTACAAATATGAGTTAGGAAATAATGGTCTGCCCTCATTTCTTTTGGCTGAATGGCAGTAGCATATATAATCTAGCAAGAGAAGGAATCCTCAAGATTGTTGAGTATAACTTTTTCTAAACATTGTTTACGAGCTGTTCTTATCCTCTGTTGGGACACTTCAGTATTGGGCAATCCCTGTCTTACCTGGTGGCCCATTTCATTTCTGGATAATATGGCTCGTTAAAATGTACTCCTGTTAAACCAAGGTAATTATCATGTTCTCTCTACTCTCACATTTTTGCCTGTCCCCAAAGTCTTCTATTTTCCAAGCTAAGTAGCCTTGTTTTCTCCTGTCATTTCTCAAGTGAGAGAATTGTAGACTTTTAACCAAATGTCTGTCCTCTGAGTGTACCAGAAAATTTGAAGAGTACTGTGTATAGCACTCAGTATCATTTTAAAGAGACATTAAAGCATGTTTAAAAGGAGGGCTCGGCCGGGCGCGGTGGCTCAAGCCTGTAATCCCAGCACTTTGGGAGGCCGAGGCGGGCGGATCACGAGGTCAGGAGATCGAGACCATCCTGGCTAACACGGTGAAACCCCGTCTCTACTAAAAAATACAAAAAAACTAGCCGGGCGAGGTGGCGGGCGCCTGTAGTCCCAGCTACTCGGGAGGCCGAGGCAGGAGAATGGCGTAAACCCGGGAGGCAGAGCTTGCAGTGAGCTGAGATCCGGCCACTGCACTCCAGCCTGGGCGACAGAGCAAGACTCCGTCTCAAAAAAAAAAAAAAAAAAAAAGGAGGGCTCAGTATAAGAAAATACTTTTTAATAATTAGGACTTTCAAAAAGTAGAATGGGTTCTTTAACTGTGATGTGAAGGGTCAAGAGGTTTCATACCTTGAAAGAAATGTTGAATTAGAAAACCTTCAAGCCCTCTTTCTATTTAAATTCTCTCATTCTGTGCCTTATCACCCCTTAGCAAACTGAAGGAACAGAGAAATAAATGTATGTTGAATACTGTATTTGCTCTAAGCCAGGTACTCTTCTGTGAGCTCAACAATTAATGAAAAGGTTACTGAAGAATAGGTAGAAATGTAGTCTGCATTATTGCTTCCACCCATTTTCCCTGAGTGCTTTAAAAAAATCTACAGGGAAGAATTCTGGAACATCTAGAAATGGAACTAGGCTGAAGGAAGCTCCCCTACCATGGAATTCAGATAAAGAACCACAGGGTAAATAATTTCATGTAAATGTATACAAATTAGTTTTGATTATTTCTTATACCTTTGGTATGAGTATTTTGGAACCATGTTTTTCTGATCAAGTGGGTTACTATGCAGTCTTGAGAAATGTCTTCATAAATGTCACTGGCTTTAATTGTGAATTAATTAGAGCCTTTTGAAGAACAGTTTAAAGCAAAGTTATCTTAATGTTCTTGATAGAATTGCTTAGAATTAAAGTAATAAGACCAAAAGAAAATACTAGAGCCTCTATATTTCATATGAAGCATAATTTCAGTTGAAAATATCCCAAAGTGTAGACCTTTCCTCCCTTGGCAAACAAGCCTGTCCTGTGGAAGGGCTGGGCAAACCAAACATGAAGCAGATGGAAAGGAACTTCTGTGATGTGACACCAAGATAAATAAAGGTTATGAGCACATAAGCATTTTGGATGCTGAGGTCAATTAGTGAACTGCTCTTTTTCCCCTTCTTATCTACTTTTGGAGAAACAGTTTTCCACTATGTAAAACTCTTTCCTGCTGGAGCAGAAAATTTGGCCAGCCTGTCAAGCTTTCAGCAACTATGTTCAATTATATACAAAAAAGGAAGTAGTAATCATATTCTTTAACGGCTAAAATGCCTGCACTATACAAAATATTATTCCAGATATTAGGAAGCTGTAAAAAAATTGCTGGTCTACAGAAATAGTTTTCTTTGATATTCTTGTAAACATGAAACTCAGTGACTTTAAAGTATTCATGTTTTCTCCATTTCAGTTAAGGAGTAAATCCTTTGTTGCAGATCTCTTGTATCTCCTGTTACATATTCACTAACTGCAGCTGACTTGACTTTTTAAAATTTTACCATTCCCATCTTTTTCTCCAGAATTTTTCTCTCTAAGGAGTTCTAATGCTTTTTTGCCCGACTGTCCAAAATCTCTTGTCCCTTAGAAAAGTGCCTGTGCTTCCCAGTCACTGGTTGCACTTGGCCTTTATCTGGGGAAATTAAGAGGCCTTGCTGCTGACTTCTGTTCCTCAGGCACAATGACCACGACCACTGTAGCAGCATCCTTCATGCCATCTCTGGAAAGTCATTCTGATAGACAGCAGAGCCAATGATTCTTAGGAAAGCACACAGATTATCATGTCAGAGATGAGTGGTTGCTGCTTACTTTCAGCCTCAATAGTGCCTTCACATAGTGGTTAGATGCACAACTCCAGAGCCAAGGTTGAGTATTGGCTTTACTATTTTCTACGTGTCACCGCACTCACTATGCCTCACTCTCTATATTAGTAAAATGGGCTATTAATAGTATTTAACTCACAGAATTGGTATGAGAATTACTTATTCTCTTTGTAAAAATGTATTTTAAAAAATATATGTGTTTGCATTAGGTATGCACTATACCTAGGAACCAGTCTTCCAAATAATTTTGAATATTTCTTTTTCATTTTTTTTTGTTTTCTGTTTTTTGTTTTTTCGAGACAAGGTCTCACTCTGTTACCCAGGCTAGAGTGCAGTGGCACAAGCATAGCTCACTACAGCCTAGAACTCCTGGGTCAAGCATTCCTCTGCCTCAGTCTCCCAAGTAGCTGGGACTACAGGCATGCACCACCATGCCTGGCTTATTTTTTAAATTTTTTGTAGAGACCAGGGTCTTGCTTTGTTTTCCAGTCTGGTCTTCAACTCCTAGGCTCACACAATCCTCCTGTCTCAGCCTCCCAAAGCACTGGGATTGCAGGCATGAGTCACTGTGCCCAGTATTTTGAATATTTCTTACCATTAATTTCCTAAACTTCAATGACTTGTTGGGTAGAGAATCCACTACCATCACTGGTGATGGAGAGAAAAGGAGGTAAGTCAAGAGTTAACTCCAAGCAGTACCATCTCCTTGTCAGGGTCACCTGCCTTTTAAATGGGTCCTTCTATTGTTTATGACTCACTCCCTCACATGGAGTTTTATGGTAGGTTATATAAGTTTTGCATGTTTCCATGTGCATATGTTTAATGGAAACAATAATCCAAATGTTATTTTTAATTTTTTTTTAAGAGACAGGTTTTTGCCATGTTGCCCAGGCTGTCAAACTCCTGAGCTCAAGACACTTCTCCTGCCTCAGCTTCCCAGTTAGCTGGTACTACAGGTGTGCACCACCATGCCTGGCCTCCAGTGTTGTTTTCTACTTAATGTATATTATTGATCTTTAAGTTGTCTTGTAATGTTTGGATTTTTTTGAAGTTTCACTTCTTTTTTCCTGTAGCCAACATTAAATTAAATGTCAGTATCAATCCCACAGCAGCCCTCCATACAGATATATCCATTTGTGAAACTCTTAAGAAATTCAGTGTTGTGTATAAAAATTTAACGAAAAATTATAAAAATATTTTTTAAGAAAAGGCTTTAAAGCCACATTTCTATCAGGACACCTCCTTGGTACATGAAACATAATCTATTTAAAAATTCAGCCTCCATATAACGTTTCAGAAGCCTCTCTACTACATTAGGAAGAAATACCTGCACCAAAATAAACCTTAATCCGTAAGACAGTCATTAGGCCAGGCATAGTGGCTCACCCCTGTAATCCCAGCACTTTGGGAGGGTGAGGCAGGATGATCACTTGAGCCCAGGAATTCAAGACCAGCCTAGGCAACATAGTAAGACCTTATCTCTATTAAAAAAAAAAAAAAAAAAAAAAAACTCATTAGATCTTCATGCCATTTTAAAACGGTTTAAGTTGTAGATTTGAAGGAAATAACTTTTAAAATGGCCTTTTTAAAGAACACTGAATTTTTCTTTTTCTCAAAACTGTGGTGTTCAGTTTGTCTGGCCATCAGTCACTGTTCTCTAGAGCAGACAATTTCTGTTCATCATAAGACCTTAACTCAGAATGCGGGGATGTGGTCGGTTGTGTAAAGCACTAGTTCTGAATTTCCATGCAGTGGGTTTTGGGCATAGCATAGCAGTAACCGTGCCGGGCTGATGAGTAGGCGAACAGTTGAAATAGTGTGCATTCTTTTCCAGTGCTGGCAGCTGCCGTGTTTGCTTTCCGAGCAGTGAACCTGATGGAGGTGACATCACTGGCTGCAGCTGAAGTAAGGATAAGTTTCACTCAGATGGGATGGAAATAGTTTCTGAGGGATTGCCAGGCTGTCATTTTAGTGTCTGATGCATAGGACACGCATTACTTGCAGCCAGATTTTTTAACTCGGGTAAAACCTGTTAAGTTATGAGCTAATAATACTTAAGGATTCAAATTTCTTTAATTACTTGAGAAAAATCTTCTTATGAAGGAGTAATAAACAAGATTATTATAGGAAACCATTATAACCATATGGGAAACCAGATACCTGGTAATTTTAGTAGAAACAATTGGGGTTTATGTTGCATTTTTAAATTGTTCATGTCGATGCATTATTTTCACAGAAGGAAAACTACTTGAGAGAGTTAAAGAGCATGTATTTGGGTGATATAGTGAAGATACATGGGCTTTTTTGGTTATTTAAAATTGTGAGTTAATTATTTAAAGCTGATTTCTTTTCAGTGATATAATTTATACCTGAAACATGGTTCAATTAAATAGTGCTTACTGTATTATTCTATTTGTTATCTTTCACAGAAATATAAATTTTTCCTTAAAATAGCTGCCTACATTTTTGTTTAAAGGGAAGAGGATGTTTATGCATCTTGCAACTGAATAAACATTAGTTCCATCTCAAAATGACTTCCTGCAGTCAGTCAGTCCTTACACTAGAATAACAGGACTAGGAATCATAATGTGCGCTTATTTATAGAAGCAAGTTGAAATGTTAAACCTGTTATAAACTCTTGCTACCTTGTATATTTGAAGAAGACTGAGGCTAACATCCAGGTTATTTTCTGCGGCACGTTTCAGCATTTTGCACATGTACTACCATTAAGATATTCTGAAAAGAGAAGGAAAGTTGTAGCTTTAGTACTAAGATTTAGGACAAATCCAAAGAAGAGCTTAGTGTCAAAATTACATAGTAATTATGTTTACCTTATCTCATAGACTTCGCTTTGCTATTAATAATTCTTTTTATTTTTTGTTTCAGGCAGTTCTTGCTGACCTTTCTACTTTAAAAGTAATGCCTCTTCTTCAAATTTTTCTGTTTGCTACTGTCACCTGATCTTCTTCACAGTCACTGACAATACATCTAGTTTTTCATTAGAAACAAATCATGAACTATGCAAACTCTGCATAAAACCAAAATGAAACTTTGCATATAAGCCAATAAAGATCATGTTCCCTCTTCAGTTAAACCTAAGTAGTTTCTCACTTTTTGAAACAATAACTCTGCACCAAATATTGCATCGCATGCTGCTGATTTTCAAGAGAGAAGCAATAAACACAACTTCTGCTAAATTGAGCATTATATATATAATATTATAATATATATATAATCCTGACTTGTAAATGGCATGTAATAATATATGCAATAAGAACTAAAGATACTGTAATAAACTTCAAGAGGTAATGTAGCTTCTTGGATAATTCTTTTATGTCAGTTTATAAATTTATCTCTAGATAATGTATTGTTTTGTCTCATAAATTGCTCTTCACTCAGAGCCAGGGGTGGAGTAGGGTGTGAGAACACTTGAAAAAGATAATGTTTTTAAATAGGAATTCAAAAGTTGCTTAAATGATGTTTTAAGCAACTTTTTACACCCCAGGGATTTTCTACATTTCTCTCCATTTTATTTCTCTCTTTAAACATCTCTACTGGGGAAGGTCGAATACAGTTGTCTCCGTCTAGCAATATTTTATGCTTGACTCTCTGAAAGTCAGAAAATTATAGTTGATCCCTTTTCACTTCTCAACCTTCCTTCTCTTGCTTAGAAGACTTGACATTGCCAAGGCCTGTTGCCAGCTTCTGTTACTTTGTAACTATGCAAGGAAGACACCCAAGAGAATGAGGAGTCAAAACCACATTCACTTTTGCTGAAGCTTGGTTTCACAAGGTATACTTCTGGGGCAGAGCCCCTGAGAGAGATTAAAAGTAGGTAGCAGGCATTCATTCTAAACTGCAGACATTATGCAAGGCATCAGCCTTATTTTGGGCTTTATTATACGTGAAGGGTCTTATTTTGTATTACTTCCTAAAGACCTACCATTTCTGTAATATGGAGGAAAAAGTATGTGGGCGAAAAAGTCCGAAAGCTATTGTCCTTTGATTTTAGTGTCAAATTTAAGATGCTGATCACTTCACTAAAACTAAATCAGTAGATTGATACTCTTATTGATTGCCTAGAATTTTATTTTTACCCAAATGTATTTTATGAATCTTTTCTTTTGGCAGTATATATTAGGAAAAATGCTTGTTGATTTCCTGAGAGCTGAATAACAATTTATTCCATGATTGATTCTTAATAAACCCCATTTTATTGCTTTTGAAGGTGATGCAGTTATAATCCTATGCTTTGCCATTCTTTGTTTCTGAATGTACATTAATTGACAGGAAAAGCACACACCCATGACTATTATCTACTCAGAAAATGGCTAAATATTAGGAAGAGAGTGAGTTTTAAATGATCTGGTTCACGTGCATACAGATATGCCCATCTTTGACTTTTTTCTTTAGGAGAATATGCATTAGCTTTTTTAAAAGAGGCAATGTAATAGTCTAGTACACTAGACTGGAGAATTCTGGTCCTCAGATGGGGGAATTTTGGTCCTCCTGTAAATTCCTAGATAATTTAAGCTCTCTTACCTGTAATTGGGGTTGAGGGACTGGTAACAAATGGTAGGAAATTATTGTATCTGCTCCATTTACCTTACAGGTAGGTAAGGACCTGTAGGACCAAATAAGAAAATACTATATTTGAAAGTAATTTTTAAAACTGCAAAGCACCAAGGAAATGAAGGATATTGTTGGTACTTAGTTTGTATATGACGTTTTAAGGACAAGTAGTAGAAGATGATAGATGAAGACTGCACAATTTCATTAGCATTTCTATCATTTAACCTGATAATTTAAGACTCTGTCTGTAAAAATGAATGGACCATGCCATAGCAGATCCTTTCATTTGAAACAGGTGGCTCTAGGCAGGAGCTCTAAATCTGAATCCCAAAGCCAGACTTGGTTGATAACCACCCACTTTGCTGCTTCCCCAGACCCCTCTCTGCCAAGCACTGCTCTTGGCTGCTTGTTAAAACACTGCACTGAGGGTCATCGGGCTGCCTTACCCACACTTTTTTTTTTTTTTTTTTTTGACGCAGTCTGGCTCTGTCACCCAGGCTGGAGTGCAGTGATATGATCTCGGCTCACTGAAACCTCCACCTCCTGGGTTCAAGTGACTCTCCTGCCTCAGCCTCACAAGTAGCTGGGACTACAGGCATGCGCCATAACACCTGGCTAATTTTTTGTATTTTTAGTAGAGACGGGTTTTCACCATGTCAGCCAGCCAGGTCTCGAACTCCTGACCTCAAGTGATCCACCCGCCTCAGCCTCCCAAAGTGCTGGGATTACAGGCGTGAGTGACCACGCCAGATCTGTCCACTCCATCTTTAACCACGCCTCCTTAGGCTCCCTCATTTGACTTCCTTTCTCTTGCATCCTCCTGTGCCATCTCCTCCCAACCCCTGACACCCCCTTCACAACTCTTCTGCCAGTGATTACAAAGATTGGAGTGAATAGTGATACACTGGCATTGGTGTAGCCTAATAGGTGGTTCTTCAGGATGTCAGTTCACCCGCTAATGTGATACGTTATGACTTTATAGTATGGAAGAGTTTATTGAATAATGGTTTTGTTGAGAATGCTTTGGTAATGCAGTGTTCTGGCTAATTGAAATTTCCAGCTTGTCTTAACTTCGCAACACCCCACACTCAGTATGTGCTCTCTCCTCCTATTTTGCAGGGAAAATACAGACCATTAAGCTTGAGTTGTCTCAGCCTTCTATTTCAGAATTTAGCTTTATCTCTCCCTGCAGATTTATCTCCTTCCTTCTTGCATTAAGAAGTGTCTAGTCTAGTCTAGTCCTATAGTTCTCTGAATGCAGATTTGATTGTGCCACTTCTATGCTTCAAAAACTCAACAACTTCTCATTGCCTAAAGGATAAAGGCTAGGCTCTGTAGCATAACAGGAAAAAGTTTTCATCGCTTGGCCTTTTCATTCTTATGTTCCCACAGTGACCCATTATCCTGTACTTCAGCCTCACTGGGTTCCATGCTGATTCTCAACCAGATATGGCTCTTCATTTTGTTTCTGCCAAAATCTTCTCCATTTCTCAAGGCCTCCCTCAAAAATTTTTCTCTGTTGTGAAGATACCATGGAACCTGTAAATTAAATTAATTATGCCCTTCTCCTTGTTCTCATAAAACTGTTCATCCACTCATGTGATGCTTATAGTATTAACTGATAGCTTTTTGGATATTTGTTCTGATTTTGTTACTTTATTCTGAAGGCAGTTTTCATTGACTTGTCTGTCCTAAATGTGGAAGATGCAAGCAGAAATTTGTCCATATATGTCTGTATCCCTTGACCTACTCAGAAATTGTTGGGATCTGTTTTCTATAAAACATAATTTCTCCTTTGTATCTAGTCTTCCTTCTTCCACAAATGCTCTGATTTTTCTTTAGCGATCTACCCCTTCCCCATGTGCATCAGGTGAGGCTGACTTGCATCCCCAGGACCTCTGGGTCCTAGCCAAGTAGTCACCATGTATTGTTCCTCTGGCCAAGGGGATTGCTTCAGGACCAATGCAAAATCTGAGACCAATGGGAGTTAGTGAAACTTAATTAGGAAGCTTTGGTTTAATCTTTCAGGGAAGCTAGATATGAAAAAGAAAGAATGTAGGGTGTGTAGCTGCTGCAGTCTAGGAATGGAGAGAAGGAAAAGCTGCACATTTGGCCTTGTTGATCCCCAGATCGTGCTGCACCAGTCTACCTCTGAACTGTTTTTTTTACAAGACCCAAAGGATTTTCTTTGCAACAAAAAGGATCGTAATTGATGGCAGTTATTTTCCTTTAAGGTGATGCACAATAATAGGGGTATCATTATTTGGTATAGAACTCCTGTCTACACACTGCTCAAACTAGAGTAGTATATATTTTAACTTCTTCTAATCAAGACACAACCATGACCTTACAAGGATAAATTGTATATTTCAGACCTACTGAACTACTCGAAGTACCTAATACAAGGTACATATTTTGCCTTTGGCCCTTTGCCCTTATGGCTTCCTCTGCTTAGAATGCCTTCTCTTCCCTCTTTACCAAACTCTTACTTGTACATCAAAACGCATCTCAGGTGTTACATCATCAGGGAAGACTGCTTCTCTTATGAATCCTCAATCCCTACATATACATGAGATGTATTATAATCAAGTTAGCTTGTCCTCACTCCCACTGTACTGTGACTCCTTGAGGACAAAATTGGATTCTTTTTCAGCCATATATCTCTAGAATCTAGCATTGTGTTTGCCCCATAATAGGCTTTAGTAAATGTTTATTGAATGAACAAATGAAGTCATCTATTCTAATTCACTAATTTTACTGATAAAGGAATTTGCCTATCCAGTGTCACACAGCTATTTTACCCACCAAGTTGACTTGTGGAGTTGCCTTTGGAAGTCCAAAAGGAAGGAATATTTTCAGAGGGAAAAATGAAATGGTTCTGTCACTCTTTTTTTTCATTTAAGTTAACTTTATTAAGGTATAATTTAATGTACAATAAAATTATATGTATATTTTATGTAAAATAAAATGCATTCTAAGTGTACAGTTCTATAAGGCTTAACAAATGTATATACCCATGTCACCACCACCACATCAAGGTATAGAACATTTCCATCACCCAAAATAGTTCCTTTTGTGCCCCTCCCCATCCAATCCCCCATACACACTCATCCACTTGGAGTGGATGAGTACACACCCCATACACACTCCAACCACTCATCTGCTTCTGTCCGTAAAGATTAGATTCATCTTTTCGAGAGTTTCATGTAAATGGAATCATCCATATGTACTTTTTTGTGTCTGGCTTCTTTTGCTCAGCATGTTTTGAGATTCATCCATATTATGTGATCAGTAGTTCATTCCTTTTTATTACTGCCTAGGATTTCATTGTATGAGTATTTCACAATTTGTTTATTTACCATTGTTAATGTACATTCATGGTGTTTTCAGTTTGGGTGTATTATGGATACAGCTACTATAAACATTTGTGCACAAGCCTTCATGTGGACATATATCTTAATATTTCTGGGGTTAATACCTTAGGAGTAGGATTTCTGGGTTATGTGTAAGCACATGTTTAACTTAGAAGGAGGCCTCCACACTCTTCTGAAGTGGTTCTACTGTTTTACATTGCCACCAACAGTATATGAGTTCGTATTTCCCAATCCTTACTACCAACACTTGGTGTTGTCATATTAGTCATTCTAATAAGTGGTTTTAATTTGTATTTTCCTAATGATATTGAGCATATTTTCATACTTATTTGCCATTTATACATATTCTTTTGTAAAGTATCTGTTC